TCCCCTGCATCGGCAGGCGGACTCTCAACCACTGCGCCACCAGGGAAGCCCTCAAACTTTTAAAAACCATTTATCAGAAGAGTGCCATGCACATAAATCATGGACCCATAGGTAGCTCACCTTCCAAGACTTCATTTTAGGAATTGATATTTACCCGTATAGAATTGTATTAATATTGGAAGGTGAGCATTGCATGCATACGTTCCAGTGAATAAAAGAATATTATTTATTAACAGATGAAAAGCAGAGCTGTGAAACACTGAGTTTGATGTCTAAAATCTTTGGTTGAAATATTGTCTACTACTCATCACAATGTACAAAAAAAAATGGAGTTTATTGAACAACTCTAAATATTTCATGGAAGGGAAATTCAAGCATTTAGCACCGTGGTAGCACAGCAAACACTGTAGAGGTCAATTTTTTTTTTTAATTAATTTATTTATTTTTGGCTGCGTTGGGTCTCCGTTGCTGCGCACGGGCTTTCTCTAGTTGTGGCGGGTGGGGGCTACTCTTTGTTGTGGTGCGCGGGCTTCTCATTGCAGTGGCTTGTCTTTGTTGCAGAGAGCGGGCTCTAGGCGCGTGGGCTCTAGGGCACGGGCTCAGTAGTTGTGGTGCACAGGCTTAGTTGTTGCGCAGCATGTGGGATCTTCCCAGAGCAGGGATCGAACCCGTGTTCCCTGCGTTGGCAGGTGGATTCTTAACCACTGCGCCACCAGGGAAGTCCCGAGGTCAATTTTTAAAGACTTTATAATTAAACAGATTTAATCAGTAAGACATGTGCTTTCAACTCCGTGTGTGGCCTCAAATGGAAAGAAATGGTCAAGACATCTTGCAACCCCAATTTTCAGAGAGAGCAAGAAAATACCACATGGCATAAGAACGAGAGAATTTGAGAGACGAGATTATTCTGTCCTAATAGAAAAGTTCGTCAGATGGATAAAATACATGTATACATGTCTCCCTGCTTCCTTTGTGTCTCTGTCTTTTCTTTAAAAGTCGTCCAAAGTGAGAGATAGTTGCATTGTTTCTCATATCTCATTTCTTCTCTCCTAGTTCCCTTTTCTTCCTGCTGCACTATATCCTTTACTAGTTCCTTCAGTGGTGCATTGTGGGTGATAAACCCTGTCAGTTTTATTGTTCTGAAAAATATTTTAATATTGTTCTCGGCTGAACTATATCCTTTACTAGTTCCTTCAGTGGTGCATTGTGGGTGATAAACCCTGTCAGTTTTATTGTTCTGAAAAATATTTTAATATTGTTCTCGTGCTTGATTTGATCATTTGACTTGGTTTAGAATTTTGAGTTAACCCCTTCTTTCCCTCAGTACCCTGCAAGTGGTACTCCATCATCTTTTGGCATTACTTGTTGCTGATGCATATTCTACTGTCTGTTTAATTATTGTCTCTATATAGGTAATAGATCCAGATAACTTTTATAGTTCCCTAGGTTGTGTTCTATATATAGTTTTAATTCAGTGTTATGCTGAGAATTTTTTTTTCATTTACCCAGCACTACAGTCAGAATATATTTTAGAAGATCCATTTTTTTTCTTTAATTCTGGGATATTCTCAGCAAGTGTTTCTTTGAGTATTACTTCCCTGCCATTCTATTTATCCTTTTTTTTCAGAGTCCCTGTTAGATGAATGTTTATTTCTACTGGAATTTCAGTGTAATTTTCATGCTTGTTTAAACAGTTAACCTTCTTTATGCTTTTGAAGATAGTAAATATACCTGTTTCGAAGATATCTTGCATAGAGTGAATTAATCTTCTGATTGTTGATTTTGTTGGTTTTCCTTTAAGCATTAATCTTGCTCATTAAGGAATTTTAATTTGCAAGCTTACATTAAATGGGAGGTATTGGTTTGCCTCTGCTTTTGACTTTTTTCTTTCTTCCACTTTACCTCATAGTGGTCTTGTAGTTGCCTCCACCATGTTCTTTTCTGTGGCCCACATTTCAGAACCCCTTCTTAAGTTGGTGGGCTATGGCTCCTGGCCCATGATGACCCTGGGAATATCACAGGTTGTTTTGCTGGGTCGAGGCTGTGACTGCACGCCAGTGCCTGGTCTTCCCTCTTTCCTAGGTGGGCATAGCCCCAGATCGCGGGTGGCACAGGTTTTTTTCATCCTCTTCTCTACCCCTGATGTTCAAGGCCTTCCTATTAAATGGAAAGAATAAACTATTTAGAGACACAAGTCCTGGATTTATGTTCAACTTCAGACTTCACAACCGTGTTACTAATTTGTGGCCGGGACCCGTGACCATTTCAATTTTGAATCTCCAGATTTTCCACTGCAGTGCCCTGTACAAAGTAGTTATTCAGTAAGTTTTTATTGAATATGTAGATAGATGAATTCCTTAGGCTACACCTCAGAGTGATTATTCTGGTTTGAAAGTGTTTTTCCACTTCTGGAGTCTTTCATGCTTTGAACATTTCCGTGTACTAGTTTTGTTCTAATCTCCCAAATACATGCCTTCTGTCTTTCACTTTTCCTGCCCCCAAATCTTAAGTGTTTTCTAAATGCATATTAAACTCCAAGCTCCCTACGTTGGCTTTCAAGGACCCTTGGTTCTTCTTTCCAGCATTAGCTCCCACCAGTGTGCCTTCCCCTTCATTATGTCCAGAACATAGGTGTGTGTATGTGCTTTCCCACCTCCTTAAATCTCTTTGTGCTTTTAAATATACCAGAAATATCCTTGTTGGTCCCCTCTTCCTTCCTCTTTTTAAAAATCTCACCTCAAACCTCACCTCCATAAAAGTTCCCATGTCTATTGCAGCTCTTTAGTGAATGAATGACAAATCTAAATAGCAGTTATTTTCTGAACAACCCATTTGAAATTGATAATGTCTTTCTCTTAACTTACCTTAAGGACATAGCCTGGGACTGTGCTTGTCACTCTCATTTATATGGTACAAGTGCCTAATAAGTAATAAATTTTTTGCAATGTGTAATGTCCCAGTGAAAACTCAAAACATTAAAAAATTGTATTTTCATATCCAATTTTTTAGATAAGAGAACATGTACTGGGACACTAGGGATTATACTTGAAGACGTGAATGATAACGGCCCATCCATACCTCAAAAGACAGTGATAATCTGTAAAACTGTCATGTCATCGGTGGCGATTGTGGCCGTAGATCCCGATGAACCCATACACGGCCCACCCTTTGACTTCAGTTTGGAAGGTGTTTCTGCTTCAGATGTACTTAGAATGTGGAGACTGACAAAAATTAATGGTATGTGTTTTTAAACATTACTTTGTCCTTCTCAGCATCAGGATATCTAAAATATTTTTTTTTCTTGATGGAGTAGAAGAATAATTCACTGAATGGTAACCGCCAACAAAAGAACATGAGTTTCTCAGTGTTGATGTGGTGGGAAGTGCCGGTCTCTGATCAGTCCTGTGCCGGGATTCCCTTTGGTGTTGGGTGAATTCTCATTCGTACTCCACCCCCCCACCCCAGACTACTACGTCTGATGTAACCACTTCCTGACTTGTGTACCTCCCACCTACAGAGAGTCTTCATATGACAGTGGTCTCCTAAGTCATAAGGGAATCCCCATCCCTTGCAGGTATGCTACCCAGCAAGCAGACTCTGAGACAGTCTTTCCAGGCTGAATGTTTATCAAGGAGTTTCCTTGGCATTAATATGTGTGAAAGGAAGGGAAGCAGGATTTAGCAAAAAGAGAAATCAAGCTGTAGCTCAGGCCAAAGGACAGCCTCGGCTGACTCACAGGGAGTCTGAACTAAATGGCCCTTCAGAATGGCCATTCTGTTCTGTGCTTTTACATTGCTTCATCAGTGGGTTGGGCTGCCCGCAGGGATGTGATCTTTGGCAGGAAGGCACCGTCACTGATGGTGCTGATAGCCTCCCAAGCAGCTGGGACAATACATCCCTGATTACAGGGGATCTGGATATGCATCACAGTGTCCACCATAGGATCCCTTCTTTCTGCACTGCATTGGCTTCTGACCATTTCTTGTCTACTGTTTTCTATGTGGGATTCTTCCCCCACTTGGTCCCAGTCTGTACTTCTGACTTTACCCATGTTAGAATCTATGGTGACAAGAATGGCAAAGACAAAGGGAACCTCCCTTTGTCCCACCATTGCCTCATTCCCTACGTCAGCTCTTAACTTTCCAGCACATTCTGCGTCTCCTGACCGCACTACAGTACCTGTGCATCATGATGTCATGTCACTCCAGCTTTCACGACTCAAGATCCACTGTAAGCTGAGTGGGGGGTGCCCTTGAAAGGTTTTCATTCCCATGCTTTCAATGAGTATTCCTTGACTTCCTATTATGACAAGTTGCTCTGTGAACTGACAACATTTTCAGTGTTTGTAACAGCATTCTAACATGTGCATGCTTGAGAACTAACCTTATATTTAGATGTCCTTTCTACTTATTTGGTGTCATAATATTTCTTTTTATATAATGTTAAAGGAGGCGGTAATTTTAAAAAATATTCCTACTTAGTACAATGAAACGTTGTCAGGATTATGTTGGTCAAAACTTTGTTAGTTTAAAGTTTTACTGGGCTGTGAAAGAGCCCAAAAGCCTGGGAAATGCCAAGTTAAGAACGTATCCTAAAGAGGCTTTAGGTCTCGCCATGCTATTTATTCTTCTTGGGCATCAATTTACTCATGTGTAAAATGGGATTATTGGGGGAAGTAAACAAGATAGTCAACGCAACAGACCATGGCATGTTTTGAATCATAAATTGTGGTTTTGTTAGTCTTATTATGATTTCTTACACATACACAGACTCACTGGGTTAACCATGCTTTCTCTTAAAATTGACCTGATTCAGTGTTTTTTTTTTTTTTTTATTTTTTTACCCAAATATCCAAGTTTATATTTAGAGCTTCAAATTATGAAATAATGAAAATGTCACACTGAGCCAGTTAAGTGGGGAGGATTATTCTTGGGCATGGGCCTGTGTCATCTACATGTAGAGTAGTATATTTTTGGCATTCCCAAGACTAGGATTTTGACCTGGATATTTTCAACTATTGACCTAAGAAAACATACATCGAAACCAAAAAAAAATACAGTTGGTCCCAGTGTCTTGTAGGAGGACCATGAGAAGAAGTTCCAGCAGCATGACTCATGCCTTGAAAATATGTTCAAGGTTTGGCACAATGTATAGAAAACAAAGTAAGGGGAAACATCCAGAATTTTAGTCTATGAAATTCTCTGATGAATCATGCATAAAAGAAAATATACACTGACTGGTATTGTAAAAATTTTTAAATTTTAAAGATGTGATAAAAATCAGTCTCTAAACAAGTCTGTTATTTGTGACAGGAAGGATTTATTTATCCACAGGTAAAGTATATTATTACAAAAGCCAAAAGAAAGACCTTTCTAAAAAGAGGCAGTGTAGACAAACGTTTACATGATTAGAAAGACTTCGTCCATTCACGCTTACAATCGTGTAGCACTTGTGCCATTCCCATCAGGAATATCCAGTTGTAGGG